TCTCTCTCTCTCTCTCTCTCTCTCTCTCTCTCTCTCTCTCTCTCTCTCTCTCTCTCCCCTCTCTTTCGCTGTTACAGAATAGGAAAAGGTGTTAATAATAAGATTTTAAAGATAGCTCCTTTCTATCTATAAATGGAATCTTCCTCACTGCAAAGAAGATGGATGCATGTTGATATCTCTGAGTCAGTCAGCAGGATCCACATTTACGTTTGGTTTCTAAGTCCTTGAAAGCCATTGACCCCTTTGCTTTTGAGTTTCATTCACAAGCTAAAAGGGCATGCATCAGGGTGGGGGAAGTGAAATTCAAAATTTGTGGGCTTGGAAAAATTTATAATCAGCTTCAGGGCTCAGAGGATTTGTGAAATCGGTTTGGATTAACAGCCATTGATTGCTAATAAGACAATATTTAGCTTTGTCTGGAGAACAGCGATGGAGAAAGGTATGGGCACCTTGTCAGCGGGGCCCATTGAGCAGGGCTGATGGGCTAAGCGTGGGGGTCTCCGCAGCAGCGTGGGCGCTCCTCCTCCAAGGAGCGGTTGTCAGTTGTTAGCGAGGCTGGTGAAAGGAAGGACGCCAGAGTCTGATGGCTGGGGTGGTATTGATGTGCCTTAGCTGAGTAATCAGATTGAAAAAGTCCCATGGTATTTATGTCACTTTAATTTTCATCAAACAATTGGAGCCGACAGCACTCTATTAAGGAGAAGTTGATCCAGAACTAAAGCCAAATAAATTAGGGTCTCAGTTTAATCAAATTATCCCTTTACTGGCCGTGGATTAAGTGAGAGAGACAGCGTCAGTCTAGAGACTTGTGATTGGCTGAATCTTTCCCTTATTTTTAAGGAAGCTGATGAAAGAAAAGCATTTTAACAGAGACAACTCTAATGCGCCTTCTAAGAAATAGTGCTCACACCACAGCAGCGACAAAAAGGGATTTATTTCACTAGTCAACTATGTCATTTTATTATAAATAACAAGCCTGCTATTAAAATGAGAGTTCTGGTGAATTGGAATGAGGGGAAGAAATAGACATGGAAGAGAAATTGAGTGTTTTAGAATTTTTCTATGCAGTTTTGGGTGGTTTTTCTTGGCACACTTTCAGCATATGTAAAATCTCATTTTGGAGAATGGCTCTGAGGAGAATCACATCCCTCACATCCCTCTCTCAGGATGTGCTGAGAATTAAAATTGGTTTGCTTCACACTGATTTTAAAAAAGCAACAACGTAAGTTTGCATCAGTGTGTAGGACAGGTCGGCGAGTCAGTCGGGATAGAGCCATTGTCAGAGTATTCAGCACGAAAGGAGATGGAGCCGGCTCATCCATTAAGAGTTAAGTTTATATTCCCTGCAGTGAGGCGGAAAATGCTGCTGCCCTGCAGGCCGTGGTTACGGCTGCACTGTGAGCGGCAAGGAAGGAGGACGGGAGAGGCTTTGGGGTAATAGTAACGTTCTCTTTCCCGATTTTCGGAGCTGGTTGCAGAGTAATGCTCAGTTTATGAAAATTCATCAAGTTGTATACTTACAATATGTTTACTTTTCTTTTATGATCTACTTCAATGCAAAGTTAAAAATGTTTGCCTGGGGCCATTGTTTTAAAATTGAATTCTGTATTAGTTTTCTATGGCTGCTGTGGCACATTGTTTCAAATGTAGTGGCTTAAAACAACATAAATGACTATCTTACAGTTCTGTAAGTTAGAAGTCTGACATGGCCTTTGCTGAGATAAAGTCAAGGTGTTGAGCCCTGGCCAGTGTGGTTCAGTGGTTGGAACGACGGCCTGTGGACCAAAGGGTCATGGGTTCAATTCCTGGGCAAAGACACGTGCCTGGGTTGCAGGTTCGATTCCCGGTTGGGGTGCTTTTGGGAGGCAACCAATCCATGTGTCTCTCTCACACTGATGTTTATTTAAGGCCAGAAGTGAGGGATTGAGTACTTCTCACATTGCATAACTCTAACCTCTTCTGCTCCCCTTTTCTACTTTTAAGGACCCTTGTTATTACATTGGGCCCAGTCGGATAATACAGAATAATCTTATTTTTAGGCCAGCTGATTTATTAGTAGCCTTTTAATTCCACCTATAATCTTAATTTCCCCTTTTGTCCTTTTAAAAGACTTTTTTTCAATTACAGTTGACATATAATATTATATTAGTTTGAGGTGTAAAACGTAGTGATTAGACATTACATAACTTACAAAGTGATCACCGTGGTAGTCTAGGACCCGACACCATACCTAGTTATAACAGTATTATTGACTGTATTCTCCATGCTGTACTTTACATCCCCATGGCTGTTTTTATACCTGGTAACTTGTACATGTTAATCCCTTCAACTTTATTAACCATCCCCCCACCCCACCCCTTCTCTCCATTTTCGCAACCGTCTGCTTCTTTGCCGTGGAACTTAACACATTCACAGGTGTGGGGACTAGGACTCGGACATCTCAGAGGGCCATTGTTCTGCCTACTGAAAGTATGAATTAGTCCTTTTTGTTAGCTAGAGATAGTGTGAAATAAGGAACGTGGGAACAGTGGAGAGCACTGCTCAGAGTCCACAATTTGCACCCTGCTCTCGGTTGTCTCACTTCTTAGCCGGCAGTTTACCAGACCGTGCGACCTTGTTTTCACATCTCCGTAATGAGGGGGTTGGATGCGATGTTTCCTCAGGTGATATTTCTAACATTTTATGAAGGGGACACATCTCCATAGGGAATAAAACATTTAGGATCAGTAACTACCATAGGGCAAAATTTTTATTATAAAAATCATTGGGGCAGCAGTCAACCTTCAGATTTAGAATCCTCATGATATAAAACCTCATTTACATAATCGTGGGTACCTATGAAGTTCAGCTTCCAGAGACTTCAGTTGTTTTGCGTTTGAGGATGCCAGATTTTTGGTGGTCCCAAGAAGTGTTACTACTTGGAGTTCCTTTGTCTGGAAACAGGCATGTGTCCTCCAGTGAGGCCCTGAAAATAAGCCTATATTCTGTTGTTTGCACCATCTCCCCTCCTCCTTTCATTGCCTCTTAGTTTTGTTCTTTTCTAATTGGATTTGCCTTTTCTCTGCTTTCAAAAAAGTATTTTTGGAGCACCTGCCATGTACTGGACATATACTGATGCTGAGATGTGAATTAAGTAGAAAGACCCAACCACTACCCTCACTGGACTGAGTCTAGACTGGAGTCTCCAACCATTCTTGATTATATACTTGTCAGTAAAAAAAATTTGAGGATGCACTTTTTATTAATATGTAAAGTATGTTGTAAAACATAGACAAAATTTGGAAATTAAACAGACTGTTCTCATAGTGCCTGGGTAGTGTTCTCTGCCCCCCTTTGAGAACAGAGGAAAAAGAGAAGGGGCTGTAACACTGTAAAATTAATAAAAGACAAAGAAATGTGTGACTTAAAGCAGTTTCGCAGCCATCTTATTGTGTCTTTTGTTCCTTGCCGATTTGTTTGGTTCTTTGTTTCAATGTCATTTGGTTTGTTTGTTAATTTTTTTAAACTAGAAAAAAAAGCAAAAAACAGTTCACCCACTGTCTTTGGTTTTTCATTGCGGTCTGGCCTTGTTGCTAAAGCTGGTAGTCGATCCTGAAGATCACACTTGGAGCCTTTCCCAGGGTCTAAGCCTGACATTCATGTGTAGTTTGGATGCATTTCATTTAGATCCCCCCACCCCCACCCAGGCTTCCTAGCCTGCCACCCAAGTTGAGTAGTAATCTCTAAGATGAACTCACAGCTTTTTGGAAATAACTCATCTTCTGTTCCCCCTCAGGAGGGATTTGTTCGTGTTGATCGAGATTATGTCCTGAAATCTGCAGAGCTGGCAAAAGCTGGAGGGTGCAAACATTTCAACTTGCTGTCCTCTAAAGGAGCTGATAAGTCGAGCAGTTTTTTATATCTGCAAGTTAAGGTTTGTGCATGTTTCTCTCTCATATATACTTTGGAAGAACCCTGGATAATTGGCAGTACTAAATAATATAGAATGCTAAATAATACAAAAGTGCCCTAAATGCATTATATTACACATTTTTATAGCTACAGGGACTATTTTTTTCAGGGATAATTTTCAGTGTCCTTCCCCCTGTTGATGATCTAGTAATCATGAAATGAGATATGGCAGCTCTGGTCTTAAATTCATCAGCATGGAATCTTAACAGTAGAAGAGGCTTCGAGGCAGTGATTCTTAAACTTTTCCAAAGTAGATGATATTTTATTATTGTGTATGGTTTCTGTCCTCAAGGAATTTATAATATGTTTGTTTTGGAGGATCCTTAGGTTTGATAATTCTCTAGAAGGTCTCACAGGATTCAGAACATGATCATACTCAGAGCTATGAGTTATTCCAATGAAAGGATACAAAGCAAAGTCAGTAAAGGGAAGAAGTACATGGAGTGAAGCCTGGAGGAGACTAGGTACAAGCTTCCAGGAGCTCTCTCCCAGTGGAGCTGCATGTGCTTGATTTCTCCATCAGTGAGTATTGTCTACCAGAGAAATTAGCCTGAGCTGGGGAGTCCAGGGTTTTTATGGGGGTTAGTCCCGTAGGCACCCTCAGCTTAGAAAAAAATTACAGACTTTCAGAAGGAAAGCAAGTGTTCTGCATAAGCCACATTTTTTGTACAAATAATAGGCACAGTAAACTACCCATATCAGTTAGGTAATGATGGGAACACTCCTGAAATCCAGGTTCCCAAGCCAAAGGCCAACCTTGCAAGCAAGCTTTTCTAAGATAGCAGTCTTGGCCTGTTGTGTTAACGCTTATCTTACTGCTAATAGAGACAAGACACATCTTTGTAAAAAGCTAACTGAGAAACCTGTCCACATAAAAACTTATATCTGAATGTTCATAGAAGCATTATTCATAAGAGCCAGAGTGGAAGCAACCTAAATATCCATCAGCTGATGAATGGATAGATAAAACATGCAACATACATACAAAATATATTATTCAACTATAAAAGGCAATGCTACATGCTACAACATGGGTGAATCTTGAAAAACACTATGCTAAATGAGAGAGGCCAGCCACAAAAGGCCACAACATGTATGAGTCCATTTATATGAAATGTCCAGAATAGGCAAACCTATAGAGACAGAAGGATTAGGGGTTGGGTAGGGCTCAGAGGGAAGGGATGGGAGTGCTTATTGGTACTGGGTTTCTTTTTGGGGTAATGAAGTATTCTAAGATTGTGGGAGAAGGTGGCACAACTTTGTGAATGTACTAAAAAACATTAGTTAAAAAATTTTTTTTAAAGCTACCTAAAATTATAGGATGTGACAGATTAAGTGCCAAATGAATGGTATAAACAGGTCAAGAAGGGGAGGAGAGCATGCTGCTTAATTCACCAGTCCTTTAGACATACCTATACCCTGAGCTCCTCTGGCATTTCTATTCATGGAGTTGCCTGGCATGAAAATTCATGGTTTGTTTAACAAATTTAATCTAAGCATCATCTAGATGTAATCTCACGGTCTCTTAACATTTGGTGGGGTTTGTTAGGAAATGAATAATATAGAGGGAATTACCTGGAAATCAAAAAAGGTTAATGTCTGCCAGCCTATAACATGAATTCTGGACTGATGGGAGGTGGTTCTTTTATGGGTGAACTCCTAACAGGTCACTTATTCTCTCTGGATCGGCTTTAATATCGGTCCAATGAGAAGCTAGATGGCTATAGACATTTACTCATTCAGGTCATCTTTTTTAACTCTACTGCATATCAGGATTAAATGATCTCTTCCTTAGCTCCCCAGACTCTGGAATCTAAAAATCTAGATAAGGTTATTTACACATACAGTGGACGCTTGAACAACTTGGGGCTTAGGGGTGCTGACCTCCCACTCAGTCAGAAGTCCACATATAACTACAGTTGGCCCTCCATGCATGTGGATTTCTTTGAATCCTTGGAGTGACCCTTGAAAAATGTGAGTTTGACTGTATGAGTCTATTGAGAAAAACCACTTATAAGTGGACCCATGCAGTTTAAACCCATGTTCAAGGGTCAAGTCTATTGAGACCTGCAGAAACAGTTTATCTTCAAAACCCAAAGCTGTTCTCTCTCAAGCATTATAGTAAGTTGATCTTGATTAAGTACTAAAACTGCGGGTTTTTTTTTTAAACAGGGAGAAGTGGAAGAGAGGGTGGAAGAATTAAACTTTGATCGTTACTCCATATTTAGGCCTGGGTGAGTGTCCATCCTGCCTAAGGGCACACTGCTGTTGCTTATCCCCAGAAGGCAGTTTTTATTTGAAGAGACTGACAACTAAGACATCTAAGCTATGAAAGAAGTGGGCTGGAGGTGGATTATTCTCTGAAGAACCCACCTTTTGGCTTTGAAGGAAAGGAGATACTCTTGGTGGTGCCAGGTTCAGAATAGTTTTTGCTGCCGCCTTTTAAAAAATCCTCTTCATGTGCCAAATTAAACCTTTTACCCACTGTGTTAGTCTGTTCAGGCTGCCGTAACAGAATAACACCACAGACTGGGTGGCTTAGACAACAGAAATTCATTTTCTCTCAGTTCTGGAGACTAGAAGTCCAAGATCAAGGCTTCCATCAGGGTTAGTATCTGATGAGGCCTCTCTTCCTGGCTTGTGGATAGCTTCCTCTGTGGCTCACGTGATCTTTCCTCCGTGTGGGTATGGTGAGAGAGAGGAGAGATCTCTGATATCTCTTCCTCTTCTGTAAGGACTCCAGTCCTATCAGATTAGGGTCCCACCGTTATGACTGGAAGTAACCTTAATTATCTTCTGAAAGGCACTGTCTTCATATACAGTTACACTGGGAGTTGGGGCTTCAACACAGTTTTAGAGGAGACACAGCTTAGTTCAGCACACTCTCTGGTCTGAATGCAATTTACCATCTTTTCCTCTGCTTTTCTGTTTTCTCTTTAGAGTTCTGTTATGTGATAGACAAGAAGCTCGCCCAGGTGAATGGTTGATTAGGAAGTTCTTTGGCTCCTTACCAGAGTCTTGGGCCAGTGGGCATTCTGTACCAGTGGTGACCGTGGTTGCAGCGATGTTGAACAACGCAGTGAGACCCAGTGACAAGAAGAAGGAAGTGCTGGATAACAACGCCATCCATGAGCTGGGGAAAGCCAATGGCTCTCTTAAGCCATGATCACACCTGAGAAGTGCTTTTTTATAAAACTCGGCACCCACCACCTAATCGCTAATTTAAAGGTCTAAAAAAAGTGCGCTTTAATTATGGTTTCACTATTTTCAGCCAACCAGGTCCAATTAAAAATGACTGTGCTCGGCACCAGCAGTTTAGAACAACATGAGTTTGAACTTAGCAGTTTCATTTATACGTGGCTTTTTTCCAATAAATACTGTAAATGTATTTTCTATCCCTTTTTATTAATATTTTCAATAGCTCATTTTTTGGGGAGAAAAAAGTTCACATTCTAGCTCATTTTATATTAAGAATACAGTATATAATAAAATATAACATACAAAGTATGTATTAATGTACTGTTTATGCTATTAGTAAGACTTCTGCTCAACAGTAGGCTATTAGTACAGTTGCCCCTCTGCATCCACGGATTCCCAGCCTCAGATAAAAAATATTGTTTTCAATCTACAGTTGGTTGAATCTGTGAGTATCAAACCTGTGGCTATGAAGGGCAGAGTGTAGTTAAGTTTTAGAGGAGTCAAAAGTTATATGCAGATTTTCAACTGCACCAGGGTGGCACCCCTAACCTACATGTAGCTCAAGGGTTAACTGTATATCACCCAGGGAGCTTTTCAAACATAGAGCTTCACAGGCCCTGCCTCTGCTTCAAACCTTCTGAATCCAAAGTTTGAGGGTATGGGTACAGGAACATGTGGCTTTGTTTAAGTGTCCCTTGGCGAATCTGATGCCACTGGTGAGGAGGCCAGCTCTGAAATGCTTGTCTGCAGAGTGACATGGCAGTGCAGATTTTCTGTATGGTGCAGATGAGTTCTCTTCTAAAATTGTTGACATTGGAGTCTCCAAGTTACCCAGTGCTGACTGCATGTAATTGTGTAAGTGAACACTGTGCCTTACTACTTCTTTAGATTATATAATAAAAGTTCTTATATAACTGAGCTTACGTAATTCATGGAGAATCAAACAGAGGAATAAAAATAAATGGACATGTCCTAGGTGCCTCTTAGATTTGTTAGAAAATACCCACGTATCAGTGGTAACATGCAGTATTTTGGCCAATGGGAATAAACAAGCTGATATTTATCGAGTACTTGCCAAGTGTCAGCCTTTACATGTGCTATCTGTCCTTGAACCCTCCAAAAATCCTTATAATCCAGATAGGTGGTACTGCTGTTATTGAACAAGGCTTCACTGCCTGCCGCGCAAAGATGCCAAACTATACCACTGGCTTTTGAGAAAAGGAGCTTTATTTGCGAGTGGACTAGCAAGAAGACAGGAAGCAAGGTTCAAATCTGTCTTCCTCATCCAGGATTCTGGGCGGGGTTTAAGGGGTAGCAGTCAAGGGTTCACAAGTGTTGCTTGTGAGTGGTGTTTCACAAATATTACTCATAAGTGGTGTATCCAAGGTTTAAACTTTGGTTCTGGGTCTTGTTACAAACAGGATAGGACCAGGCTCTGTGGTTATACTATCATCCTCATATCCTAGATGAGGGAAGCTGAAGCTCACTGCAGTTAAGTGCCTCGCCCAAGGGGCCCAAGCTAAAGACCTGATGCTAGGAAATGTCAGAGCCAGCATTCTAACCCAAGTCAGCCTCATCCCATAACTTGTATTTTTAACCACTCTGCAAGAGCATCCAGTATCTATATAATTCCTGGAAGTTCCAGTTAATTTTTGCTGGATCAGTACATGCTGTGGGTGAATTAAATTGAAATACTTGGGTATTTGGATCCATTGGTTTAGGATACCTATAATGATTAACCACAAAATGTTCATATAGCCTGTAAAAGTGCCTCAAAGTGCTACAATTTAAAAACCATGGAAATGGAAGAGAAGATGCAGAAGGGTCAAAGTCAAGAGGAATAAGTGATTAATTCCCATTGTGGAACAAAGGGTGGTCGTGAAACTTGTCTAATGTTTGTGGGGGGGAAGCAGTTAATTGAGTGAGTCGGTCAATTTTTACTGGGCCTACAGCATGCCAAGTACATTCCAAGCTTCAGTGGACACGCAGGATAAAGGCCAGCGGGCCTTAGGAGGGAGATGGGACATCTTCCTCCTACCAGCTGAGGTTCCTTTGGGGCTGGATTCAGAAGAGCCCGTGTCTTTGGGTGATAACAAGCATGAGCTCCAAGAAGTGAGGCCTGAAGTAATGGTAGTTAAGCCAGTGACCGGTTTTTGTTTTTTTTAAAATATATCTTTATTGATTTCAGAGAGAGGAAAGGAGAAGGGGAGAGAGAGACAGAAACATCAATGATGAGAGAGTCATTGATCGAGCCCACAACCTGGGCATGTGCCCTGACTGGGAATCGAACCCCGATCGCCTGGATCCTAGGTCAATGCTCAACCGCTGAGCCACGCCTGGCCGGGCCAGTGACAGGTTTTAAGTTATTCTCTGTATTATTTCCTTGCCCACAAATGTCCTGTTGGGCCTTGTTCAACATCCTGTTCTGGTGTTAATAGTCACTGGGGTGATGGGGGAGGATCTGTGCTCATCTTTAGAGCAGAGAAAAAAGCTACTCCCTCCCAAGTCCAGCATTCTGATGAGACAGAAATTTGAAACGACAAGATTCTGGCCCATTCACCCCTCTAAACTGGATATTACTTTTTTTACTGTTAACATTGAATGATCAGGTGTTACTAAGGGATATAGCAGGTTTCCCTTCATATGTTATACGGGCAGGGAGAAGATGGGCCTTGCTGGAGAGAGGTTATGTTGGTAGGATGAAGGAAACATATGCTTATGTTTCATTAAGCATATTTACTGATTACTTGTTATAAATTAGGCCATGTATTATGTGCCAGAGAAATGAAACTTTACCCTCATGGTGCAAACAGTATTGTAGGTAACACCAAAAAAAACAGAAAAAAAAAACAAGCAAATGGCAGGTGCTACAAAAGAAACTAACAGGAGGCTGCTGGAATGACAGTGGAACCTACTTTAGAAATGGTGGTCTCTTCATCAGTTATTAGCCTATTCAGGTTTTCTGATTCTTCCTGATTCAGTTTTACATGATCTCATTCATATGTGGAATCTAATAATCAAAATAAACTGATGAACAAAATAGGTCCAGAGACATAGAAGCATGGAAGAGACTGAGGAATCTCAGAGGGAAGGCCGGGGTGGGGCAAGATTAATCAAAGAACTTACATGCATATATGAATAGCCCATGGACACAGACAATATTGTGGTGAAGGCCTGGGGGGGGAAAGGGGACATCTGTAATATTTTCAACAATTTAGATAAATTTATAAAAAATTTAAAAAAAATGGTGGACTGAGGAACTTTCTGCTGAGACAAAAAGTACCTACCCATTTGTAGAGTACTTTTAGCAAAGCCTGGAGGTGGGAAAAGGCTGGAGGGTGGGGCCCATGGTGAAGGGCTGAGTTGCGATGGAACATTAGGCAGGATATATAGAGCAATGGTAGTCAATTTAATTTCATAAACGTTTGCCAAAAGCATACTAGCCTCTGGAATTCGAGTTTGCCAAAAGCATACTAGCCTCTGGAATTCGAGTTTGGGACATTACCTACTGAAATTACTGCTGCGGACTCCCACCTGGCAAAGCGGTCTATGGTTTGAATGAATAGATACAGGGAAGGGAAGAAAGACACAAGGCATGGAAATGTTTGTGTTCCTCCCACACAGCAGCCAAAATGTTACTTTCTAAACAAGCAATTTTCAACCGGTGTGCTGCAAGATTTTTTAAAACATGCCATATACCACACTAGTCAGGGGCACTGATCTCTTTTCCCTGAGACTGGCAAATTAAAAAATGACAATTACCAACACAACAATAGCCGTCTGGTGTGAACAAATCAAATTTATTTGCTCTGGCCGGGTTTCTCAGTTGGCTGGAGCATTGTCCCCTACACCAAAAGGTTTCAGGTTTGATTCCCGGTCAGGGCATATACCTAGGTTGCAGGTTCGGTCCCCAGCTGGGGCTTAAACCAATGGATGTTTCTCTTTCTCTGTCTCTCTTCCTCTCTCTCTCTAAAAAAGTCAATGAAAACATCTTCTGGTGAGGATTCAAGAAAAAGGAAAAAGAAAAAAATTATATCTTTTTGTCAGATCAGCAAAAATATTTTTGGGTGTGCTGCAAAATTTTGGTAATTAGTGTATGTGTGCCATGAGATGTGTTCTAAACACATCTGACAGCCTTGACCAGGTAGCTCAATCGGTTAAGAGTGTTGTCCTATACAGCCAAGGTTGCGAGTTTCATCTCCTGTCAGCGCACATACAAGAATCAACCAATGAATGCACAAGTGAAACAACAAATCAATGCCCCCCCAAATCAATCAATAAAAAATTTTAAATAAACACATCTGATAGTATCACTCCCTTGCTCAACCAAATAGGTTAATTGCTTACCAGTGTTGAGGATAAAGTTAACACTTCGTCTAAATGCTTTTCGTGTGTTAACTCCTTTTACCCTTACACTAACCCTGCGGTTAGTACATTATCCCCGTTTTGTAGGAACGGAAATGGAGGCAGAGAGATGGTCGGGTAAGTTGCTCAAAATCATAGTTAGAAAGTGCTGATGTAAGAAACACCCAAAACTGAAGAGGGTGTCATATAAATTTATTTGAGCCAAACTGATGACATGCTGGGGAGCAAGATCTCAAGTGCTCTGGGGAATAACAGTCTTGCAGCTTCTCTTATGCACTTAAAATTAAGGGGGGCCCGTAAGGAAGATTAGGTAGGAAAAAGCAAGGCCAGGATTGGGGTACAGGACAGTTAACGAGGTTATGTGCTTTCTTGAGGGTGGTTATGGTTTATTTCAAAGACATATTAACCCAGATGCTCAGAACCAATAGACAGGGCTTGGTTAAGGCAAAGATAACTTTTACTAAAAGTTATAAGCCTGGGGCTACCCAACCTGACTTGCCTAGTTAGGGATTTATGGTCAGATCACCCTGTGAGGTTACTTCCCATGGAAAAGTGACAGAAATTGGAATCAAACCAAGTAGGTTGGCTGCAGAGTCCGTGTTCTCACCTAACCAGTGTGCATTAAAGACCGCGCTGGTCCTGCAGCTCCCTCCCCGCAGCTTCACCGCGGGGTCCGGGAGCCCGGCAACCAGAGGACTCTGGCCTCCCGCCTGCGTTCTGCCTTCTCCGCCACCAGAGGGCGCCGCAGCCAGTCTCCCCTCCCCGAACCCAGAATGAGGGAAGCTCCGAGGACACGGCGCGACCGCAAAACCGCTGAGGCGTCTC